TCACGAAATCACAAATATAGAGACATAGTTTGGGGAAACAGATAGTTTCTTGAGCCTACATGCACAGGTCGACCATCTGCTTACATTTGTTAAATGATGTTGACCTCGAAAGAGAGACAGCGAGAGTGAGTCGAACGAAGAAGACCAGCGATAAATTTCAATAAAGCTGTCTGCCGAGGGACAGGTAGCGTAAACTGCTTGAACCATAGAATGGAAAAGATTGATTCATGCTTCGTGCCTATTGAATCATATTCCATTTGTGTCGGTCAACTCTGAACAGGAAAGAAAAAACATCACATAGCTTAACAAACATTTTACTGGGTTTGAACACCCGATTAACTATAGAACGAGAACTTCACGATTGGATTTTGCAAAAACGGATATATCACGAAATCAAACCCGGTTACTACAATATTTGGTTTCACTCGGTTTTGAGGGTGGATAGCACAAGGAGAAATGATGGGCCCTAGAATTAAAGCTCATTTTCTCTGGGCTGTTTCGTCGTATTTTTTTAGTTGGCCGAAGCTGCTTCATGAAAACCCAGTGGAAATCTGTGTGACAACTGCCAAGACAAATGTTTCGCCCTGTTTCAGCCTGATCAGCAGTGCGTACTTTTGTGTCCCCGTGTCAGGACTTCAAACCCTTTATCCAAAATAAGAAAAAGTGGTTCAAATTTCCGTCCTCTGTATCGTCCCAGAACCTGCGATATTCGGGTTATTTCCCTTTACGTTCTCCCACTGCACTCGATTCGGCAGGTGACATGTTCGGAAGATGTTGCAAGCAAATGAAGTGTCCATGAGGGATGTTAATCAGTTGTATACTTAGATGGTGCATGTTTAGATTAGCCGATTCGCACAAGGTGACGACCGCCAGCCATGTAGCTCAGGGTCAAGAGTTTGAAATCCCTACCCGAAGGGTCGTGGTTCGAGTCCTGACAAGGGGACACAAAATGTACGCACTGCTGACAAGTCCCAAATAGGACGAAACAGCTGTCCAGTGTGCTCTTTGTCAGTTATCACAAACATTTTCATCACATTCAAATGAATTTACCTCGTGGGGAGTTAATGATCTTCGAAAGAGGGAAACCCGTACCCAAGATCGGCAACAGCTCACGGTGCCTGTGGAAGAAGAAAAACTGAATGGGCTAATCCAAACATTCACTGTTCAAACCGTTTCCTTAGGAAGCTAGAAGACCAAAATAAGATACCGAAACAAGTGCACAAACCGCTTGTAACCATTTACCGACAACACAAACGAACAGAATAAAACCCTGTACATATTTTCGTGGAAATTTTGAATATGTTAACCGAATCCTTTTTCAATTTAGTGTGACACAAGTTACGAGATAACTTGATCCATACGGTAATAACAGTCGCCAAACTACTGCTACCGGCAGATTGAAGTAAATAAACAACTAAACAGGTTTCATTCATGCTGACAGTCACTAATGCACGAACCGGTTATCAATTAGTCCCGAACCACAAAATGGAAGCGAATGCGGATGAACGATAATCGGTCGCAACAGATGATAATGGACCATCGTACGCAGTTGGGGAACGGCCGGGCAGAGCCGGAAGCGAGCAACCCGCATTGATCGAAATTCAGTGTGATCAGTTAGTCACACACCGCGCTGAACACGAAGCAGTGCCCGGTGTCATGTGCATCCGGATCACCAGGAATGAATGAGCAGCGTTTTGCTGCCTCGTATGTGATTACTGGTCACAGGAACTTATTATTTGTTTACATCAGATTCGATTGCTATATGAACAATTGCCTACCGTTATCAATTGATTGTAATTCACAGCAATGCGAAACAGATAAAAGTGATTTAAGCTTCTTCCAATGGGCGTGACCGACGTGTAGGGTGGCAAATTGGCTGCCACAATTCATTCTGATACAATACAATGCAACGTAATATAATTAACCCTTTCAGATTTTCTTTTTCCTGTGGATTCGACTATAAACGTGTTACCACTTGGCGGACAACTTTTCGCCATTGACCTCGGTCGCACAACACGCGTTGATGATGATCTGGCTGTCTATTGAATCAACCCCTGTGGTAGGAGTATCATTGAAACGGTTAACCATGAGAAATTATTCGGTGAAATTTGCAATCACATCTGGGTACATGTTCTCATGCTTTTCGTGAGAGGCAGTGGGTTGTGATCGTGTTCAGTAACACGCCGCACGCAATCGTCCGGCGTTGGATTACATTTCCGATAGATGTGTTTGTAATTTGATTCTGTTCATCACTTTTGTCTATTTTTTTCGGTGGGAAAGTTTTACCACGGGTCGGTTGAAAACGGAGCGGTTTTCACGTCCCTGTGAACTTTTGAAGTTTGAGGTTACCCCTTTCTCACTACTCTTCCCCCTTCCCCGCGCTACGCCACGAGGAACGCCGTGATAAATTTAAATTAGGATACCTTCCTGTGATAAATCACTTTCGAAGAGTTTGGATGCCATCCAAGTTTGCTTAGATGAGTTACGCTTTCATGGGAGCCAATTAGACTGATCCAGGATCAGTGAAGACTCCACTTTTTATCTGAATGCTGCGTCATGGCGGATAGATTTGCATGTCGATTTGCGATGTGCGGTGGTGTGCCCTTCGCCACAACAAAAGCCCTGATGTATTTTGCCATGTGTCTATTTGTATCGAAGTCTAGTTTTGGAGGTGTTTGAATGCTGGCTCGGTATTTGGAAGAAAATATGCATGTAAACTCGCATATGGCGCGGACGAAGAACAACTACACCGAGTGTCTACCCTACCGTATATATATATATATATATATATATATATGTGTGTGTGTGTGTGAAAAAACACGACACTCGTGGAGACCGCGGTGGGTGGTGACTAGAAGCCAAATACGCTATTGTAAACCGATCATTTGCAAGGGATACCTAAGGTTTAGCCTGATTTCACTTTCCCGCTTTTTCGTTTCGACAACGCTCAGGAAACCGGGTCTCAACTGACTGAAGGCGTTCTATGAAATTAGAAGAAATAGAGCTTGCCTCCAAACTATACGTCCTGTGACTGAATCTATTGAACACCTCCACCTTGGTTTTTGGTGCCACAGTTTAGCCGAATGACGGTGAAAGACCTCAGGACTGTGCAACAGTCAGACCCGGTGAAACAAAATTAACTATATCCATGGATATCAGTGACTTTTGGTCGCTACGTCCGGATTAATTTTTAATTTGTGTAATATTTAAAGTACTATGAAAACTTATTTGATCGCGTTTCAAACGGGGAACTAAGCGGCACGTTTTGATCAATAAGTGTCCATCCTCGTGGTGACATTATGTGGAGCTACTATTTTAGGAACTCCGTTCACACTTGGGCATTGATCAAACAAACAAACTTTAGTCATAGCCACACCATG